TGAAGGTATCTTGTTATGAAAAATTCCTGATTTTTTTGACATGTTTGCAGAGCTAGTTAGTCAGGCTACAACGTCCAACAAGTTTGAAGTCCATAGACCCAATACTCGTGGAGAAAATGAGACATAAGCAAGAATATTTTGCCCGAGTTTATTTCTGTGTTGAAATTGCCATAGAGTAGGCTGTCAGCGGGCTTCACTAAGTGGTTTGTTTACATGCTTTATCTCGTCTTGAAGGTATCTTGTTATTAAAAATTCCTGATTTTTATGACATGTATGGAGAGCTAGTTAGTCAGGCTACAACGTCCAACAAGTTTGAAGTCCATATACCCAAATCTCGTGGAGAAAATGAGACATAAGCAAGAATATTTTGCCCGAGTTTATTTCTGTGTGTAAATTGCCATAGAGTAGGCTGTCAGCGGGCTTCACTCCGTGGTTTGTTTACATACTATATCTCGTCTTGGAGGTATCTTGTTATGAAAAATTCCTGATTTTTTTGACATGTATGGAGAGCTAGTTAGTCAGGCTACAACGTCCAACAAGTTTGAAGTCCATAGACCCAAATCTCGTGGAGAAAATGAGACATAAGCAAGAATATTTTGCCCGAGTTTATTTCTGTGTGGAAATTGCCATAGAGTAGGCTGTCAGCGGGCTTTACTCCGTGGTTTGTTTACATACTATAACTCGTCTTGGAGGCATCTTGTTATGAAAAATTCCTGATTTTTTGACATGTATGGAGAGCTAGTTAGTCAGGCTACAACGTCCAACAAGTTTGAAGTCCATAGACCCAATACTCTTGGAGAAAATGAGACATAAGCAAGAATATTTTGCCCGAGTTTATTTCTGTGTGTAAATTGCCATAGAGTAGGCTGTCAGCAGGCTTCACTCCGTGGTTTGTTTACATGCTATATCTCGTCTTGAAGTTATCTTGTTATTAAAAATCCTGATTTTTTTGACATGTATGGAGAGCTAATTAGTCAGGCTACAACGTCCAACAAGTTTGAAGTCCATAGACCCAACACTCGTGGAGAAAATGGGACATAAGCAAGAATATTTTGCCCGAGTTTATTTCTGTGTGTAAATTGCCATAGAGTAGGCTGTCAGCGGGCTTCACTCCGTGGTTTGTTTACATGTTATATCTCGTCTTGAAGGTATCTTGTTATGAAAAACTCCTGATTTTGTTGACATGTATGGAGAGCTAGTTAGTCAGGCTACAACGTCCAACAAGTTTGAAGTCCATAGACCCAATACTCGTGGAGAAAATGAGACATAAGCTAGAATATTTTGCCCGAGTTTCTTTCTGTGTGTAAATTGCCATAGAGTAGAAAATGAGACATAAGCAAGAATATTGCAAAAAACAAGAATCGGGAAATATATACTTGCAAAAAACAAGACTCGGGAAACATATACTTGCAAAAAACAAGACTCGGGAAATATATACTTCCAAAAAACAAGACTCGGGAAACATATACTTGTAAAAAACAAGACTGTTACTAAAAATAGACTTCACAAAAACAAGACTCGCGAAACATACTTGCAAAAAACAAGACTCGGGAAACATATACTTGCCAAAAACAAGACTCGGGAAACATATACTTGCAAAAAACAAGACTCGGGAAACATATACTTGCAAAAAACAAGACTGTTACTAAAAATAGACTTCACAAAAACAAGACTCGCGAAACATACTTACAAAAAACAAGATTTGCCAAATTTATACTTGCAAAAAACAAGACTCGGGAAACATATACTTGCAAAAAACAAGACTCGGGAAATATATACTTGCAAAAAACAAGACTCGGGAAACATATACTTGCAAAAAACAAGATTCGCCAAACATATACATCCAAAAAACAAGACTTGCTAAACATATACATCCGAAAAACAAGATTCACCAAACATATTCATCCGAAAAACAAGATTCCCCAAACATATACATCTGAAAAACAAGATTCACCAAACATATATTTGCCAAAGAGCAATTTATACATTCGATGGCACTAACGGGCTTTCGTACATAATAAAGAAAAACACACAACAAACTTTTTTATAACGAAACACTTCCAGGCTAAATTATCAACGCTAAGCCAGTGAATGACTTGATCAAGTCTAAACCATCCTCGCACGGCGCCCTCGTGTGGTACGAAACCCATTTTCCTTCGGATCTTTCTGCTGATACATGTGATATGACATGTATGATGCATGACCTGCATGACCTGTGGCGTTTGAGTAACATCGACCGCTAAGCCGCGATCGATTGAATCTTGATCATCCGAGACTAGCACCGTCGATTGATCATCAAATCAAAACTCACACATCTCCAAAAAATGAGGACGGGCCTAAATTTCTTTATCGGCTTCGCTTTTCCCTCCCAAGAAACAGTTGAGCGTAGAGAGAATTTTATTTCTAAGTTATAAGTTGTCCAATTTCCGGACAGGTAAGCCTTACGTTAAATGACGGATGTTGTGCGCTTTCTTGAAAATCACACAATCTTAAGAATGAGCGTGCATTCTTAAGATAAGAATGAGCACGCATTCTTAAGAATGAGCACGCAATCTGAAGAATGAGCGCTCATTCTTAAGATTGCGTGGGAATATCTCGTGCGCAATTATGAATTTTACGCAATCTTATTCTTAAAGGGAATATACATCATTTGCTTTTGCTGTAATTTTCAGAAATGGATGGAATTGGGGGGTTGGAAATATAAAGCAAATATAGTTACACTAACTTTTTGGAGGTTTTGGGTTCGAAAATGCTATAAAAACCAAGAAAAACGATCATTTTCCTGTAGTCTGGTTCCCTGACTCCATATAAGAAGAAACAGAGCAGTTTACATACATTGGGGGAATTGTAAGGTCAGGGAACCAGTCTAGCTGGCTCGTACCCGTTTTATAGGTTTGTAATCGATTGCAAACAAGTGCATTGGTCAATTGGGGCCAGTATTTGAAAAAAAGCCAGTTGTTTCCAACGCTGATCGGCCGATCAGCGTTGGAAATTGATACAAAAATACCACTTTTCTTGAAAATGACAGTATACCAGGTGCCATAATTTTACAGGATGCTTTAGACTGTCATTTACCAACATCCTGTTAAGGTATTTCGCAAAAACTTGGTAGTTTTTTTTTTTCGATGTTTGCAAATGTTGTATATTCCCTTTAACAAACAATTGCACGGCATAATTATGTTGATGAAATGTATAGCGGTTAAAGGGAAATAATTCATATGAGGAAAGAAAATGATCTATGCTCCTGTACTCATAACTACGATAATTTGAATCAAATTAAACCTGTTATTATTGCAACCGTTTTTTTTCTGCCCACCCGGCACTAGGCACTATGGGAAGTTTTGTAATAACGGAGGACTGGGAACAAGTCTGGGAAGTGCTTTGTTTAGGCTAGACAAGTTACAAGTCCCTATATGTATCATATGCATATCACAAAAAAAACGATGTCCAGAAGCTGCCAAAATTGCTCTTTTGACTAGGCCTACCGGTACTCTGTAGATAAGCTCTGCAGCGTAACTATGGGGGTGTGAACACTGAACAATAGCAATTTAAGTGGCAAATAGCATAAGCGCTATGGGATGTTGCAGTATTCATTCTCATTCTCGCCCCCCCCCCCTTTTAATTGTTACCCCCAAAAATCAGAATTCGTCCCACTTGTCTCTTATTTTTTCCCGGTCTTTTCCTAGGTAAGTGACCTTGCGTTGCAGTGACCTAATTCTTAACAATTGTACTGTTGCAATGCAAGGCTTGCATTGCAACAGTACAATTGTTAAGAATTAGTGAATGAGGATGCAGCTAGACTTGCCAAGCGCAGCCGGTGCTCGGCATCGACAAGACTGTTATCTTGCCGCGCATTCTTAAGAATGTGCGCTCAATCTGGAAGGGTTATTTTTTTGCGAAGATTGCGCAAGGATCCAGTTGCGCAATCATAAGAATGTGTATGCGCATTCTTAAGATTGTGTGATTTTCAAGAAAGCGGACAACACGGATAACGTTTTTTAATTGTCTATTTAGCCGCAAACCGGTCTCGCATTGTTTCCGTTCTTAGGCCGGCCAATAGCACCCTCATTACCATACCAGTATAAGGGCGGATCCAGAACAAAATTGTTTTTGATCCCCCAAAAAGGTGGGTCCCAAAAATTACAGTGTGGGGTTCGAGGCCCCCTCTTGTGTACCTGGCCTCCGTATTGCTATAAACAAGATCATGAAGATGAACAAAATTGGTTACTCACGTTACATTTTCTTAACGTGAGTAACCGATTTCGTACGCCTTGTTTATCATGCAAAACACATTTTTCTGGATGTCATCTTTGGTGCTTAGGTAGGTCTAGGTCTACTCTATCCACCATGTGGATAACAGTTGTTAAACCTTTTCAGTAAGGTAATTACAGCCAAAGGAAACTCAAAAGTACATCAAAAATGTAACGTGAGTAACCGTGCAATTGCTCTTTTGATATTCACTCAGGAAAATCTGAGATTTGTTTAAGTGTGCCAAATAAGCAGCTTAACAGGGATTACTCGGCCCGATTTTGTGCCCAATTTTTGGATGCCACAGGTTTTGGGACTTAATGTCACTCACAACAGTACACTTTTCCACAAATTATCAATTACGTTTCATTTTGACATTTTGTTGACCGTGTTGACAGTTTGGATCAAAAGTTGATTCCTGAAATACAGACAAGGCCATTTATTCGCATGAGCTATAAACAAATAGAGTTTTCGTAGTATTCCTTAGAAGTATGTTAACATTCTAAATTTAATGTGACCCATAGTTTCAAAAGAGATGATAACGATCTAAAGAAAGAAATGTCAGCGAATGTTACTTTTGAAATTGAAGCCCTACTGGTATCTTTTTTTAATGTACCAGAAATGACTTGAACAGTCGCATCCAACACGGTCCGCGCCGCACACTGGTAGTACGCCTCTGAAAGGGACCAATCATGGCACTTCGTATCGCCGTCGTGGAGTTCATGCCCATGAAGAGTTGCTTCATCAGTCTGGCCGGTGACCTGGGGTCAAGAGTTCCAGCGAAAACAGGTGATCTATCACATGACCAATTCTATGAACAGTTCAGACACTTTGTGGTTATCATATCAGTAACCTTTTTGTCTGGTGTCACTGATTGGCTTTGCATGTATTCCAAAAATTCCCAAGTTGATTTTTCCTGTAAATTGTCATAGATCGCAAAATTGAATTGTTTATTTTTTGTCAATTTACCTGAGAGGTATCAGATGTGGTATATTTGTTTACACATGAGTTTTTCTTTTGGGTGCCATGCGTGTGCTTTCTTATGGCTCCCGTAAGTGGCTCCCATAAGAAAGCACAAGTACATGTATGCAAACTGTAATGTCCCTGAGTTTGAGTTCTGGACATTTGAGTCTGAGTGTTTTCATATTTTTAAAATATGAGTACGAGTTTGATTATTCTCACAATGGTACTCGAGCATGTCGAGTATTACTTGAGTACAAATACTGTGTATGAGTAGTATGAGGGACGTTCTTCAAAAAGTCCAATGAAGAGCAGCCATGGTTTCATGTGCGGTGCCTTTAGAGCTTAATAATAACCCAGTGTGACCAAGATGCTCATTGACCTCAATTGAATCTCATTGAGACCAGGCGACCGATGCACCGACTAGCCAACACTCCACAAGATTCTTTACCAAGACACCGACATTGACTCCAACTTATACCTCGGACAGAAACAAAACTACCAGATCCAGGAGAACCCACGACAAGCAGTTTGAAGTCCACATCGTAACGTACATCTACCCCTTTAGGCCAAAAAAAAAAATAAGTCGGTCTCTGGTCAGCACGCGCGACGATTTAAATCATGCGCGTCAATCTTTTTTTTTTTTCCAAAATGTTCCGCGGTAGCTCCAACAGCGCGCTCTATTTCCGCACCTCCTCAATTTTTTTTTACCAAAGAGCACCAAGGAATGGGAAATTGCACCAAGGCAAATGATCGAAAGCACCAAGGCAAATTATGGAGGACACCAATGTACATGAGGACACCAAAAAAGCAAAATAGTACCCACCTTGTCTGTACAATCCAAGCTTGAAGAAAGAAAGAAAAAAGAAAAAGAAAAAAAAAAAGCCGCGTGGCCGCGTCGATTCCGGAACTTTGGTCTGACCAGAGACCAATTTTTTTTTTTTTTTTTGGCCTTATCCAGTCTTTTTTTTTCCTGAAGACATTTTACTTTGGAATGCCCTACCACAGCAAATTGTCAACACAACTTCCTTTGCCATCTTCAAAAGCTCCTTCCAAGACCAACAAAGCTTTCACCTCCCCCGCTATGCATCAATCCACTCTCGCCAACTTCACTTTAGTCCCTGATGGACCGTTCGGGAGTTTGATCTACAAGTTACAAGTACAACAACACTCGAGCTATTATGTTATTCATGAACTAATTCTACTTTTGCTGTTTGTTTTACAGAATTACATCTTCGAGCTTCAGTGGGGGGATCGAGGCAGGGCGTATGTCTCGTGGGCCGGAGATACCCTCAGGTTGCCCGAGGGAAGTACAGTCGGGAATCCCACAATTCAAATCAACGGTCTCTATGGTAACAAGCTGGGGCTGTGCCACGGGGAGGAGGTAATGCATTTGTAATGTTCATGTAAATAAACCCAAACCTTCACAGTAACGTTGTGCATCGGGTCGGGTTGACTAGGCCAAACTGACCCGAAACATAGATATAAACCGAATCCGAACTGAAACAGATCTGATCTCCCCAAATCTGACCCACCCCAACCCGGCACAATTTCAGAGAAAAACCGGACCGAACCAACCCAACTCGAATTTGCTTGGCAACTGTATATATTTAACAAACGCTGTGTCCATTTTTTGTGCCAGGAATTTTTTTTTAAAAAGTGGTCTTTCAGTAAAGAATCCTATCATACAGTATGGTGGACATTCTAAACGTTACTGGTGTGCCTACACGTCATAGACTGTGCGTGATACTGATAGACCACAAACCACATGTACAATGGGTTGTACCGGGCACAGTGACTGCGGTAATATTACACCTCTTGAAATTCAAAACTGTTTTGGGTTTTTTTTTTTCGGTTTACTTCGACTTGTCTTGAAGCAGCATTTGCGAAATAGAAACATGTGACTGGCATTCAGACCATTGTAAATGTACCTACATTTATAACTTGATTTTTGAGTCCTAACGGAATTTTTAAGCCAGATAATTACATGCAATGTACGTGTGATCCGCAAGATTTTAAGGTACACGTATCATTCTGCGCAGCATGAAATTCTACCATACGTTCTTGTGGAAATGTCTTTATCGTTTCATGGGAAATGGGATTCAAAGCAAATGCGATGGCCCAATCTAAAAGTAAAGTGCACTTGAACTCAAACTACTTTGGAATTGAACACAAGCTGCCACTTGCCCAGGAATAAAATAAAATCCTCCTTTTTGTACATTTTTGCAAGTTTCATTGAAAAAAAAAGTTTCGACCAGAGGCTGTAAAAGTACTGTTCATATACTGCTTGCATCACCGAGAACAAAGTTAACCGATTAGCACCTGTACTACATTTATATAATATTGGATGGCTTTGAGGCGGATACAAGAATATATTGCACTAGCTATGACAATATTGCACGAGTCGAAGACGAGTGCAATATTGTCATAGCGAGTGCAATATATTCTTGTATCCATTGAAAACAAGCCATCCAATATTATTATTATTATTTATATCAGGCTGACTTGATCCGCAAGAAGCACAATTCAAGACACTGTTCATTACATCTTTTTCGTTTACATCAAATGTCTTGAAGCTGCCACTGTATTGTTAACACAGTGCGCGTATACCTGTCCTTCTGCGCGCTGCATGCGCGCGGCGTGTTCCGTGTTCGACTTTATGCTCTGTTGAGTGGTTGATAATTGTGACTTTCTATGCTCTTGATCAAGCGGGAACCAGCGAAAATGCCCGGATGACTGCAATAACAATGTTATTGCAGTCAACCGGGTACTTTATTATTGTAGTCATCTGGGAACTTTTATAAAAGCATACAATACGCTGATTTATTTTTAACCGCTGGAAGCCTGATATAAATAATATGTATTATATTGTGTTTATTCACTGAAGAATCAATAAACTATATACATGTAGAGTGCCCTGCCGGTTTCGGATGCTACCAGGTGCTACAGTGAGTAATAGGCAGGGCGGTTTCAGGCGCTACAGTGACTAAAGGGTTAAGATACATGTACCTAACCTCACCTAATGCTACAAAATACTACTGAGTAGTAACCTGTAGTATGCGTTTCTTTGAAGTGTGCACAACACAGGTAGTATTCTGTAGTATTTAGTTCCTTGACCCCCAAAGAGCCCTTAGGATGTTAGGGTTAAAAAGAATGCATGTATGTATGTGCACCAGTATATTGGGAATTGTTTGATGTTGTATTGATTTCAAACCAGGGGCCTTTACATGTACATCATTGCCCAGGTTCCCTGTATCAACGCAGGCAAATTGATTTTTCCCCCATATCATGACATTGATAACATATGTTGATTCTTACTGTCTTTTGTAATGAGAAGCAGTGGCAACAGCTGTTTTAACAATATGTGGGTTATTCATTTATAAGCATAGTGTTTTAATGCTAAATTCTAGTAGATGCATTGTGTCGGCTGATGCGACATGTTATTCGGAGGGCAGACACAGTAAGTGATATTGAACATACAAACAATGTTTAGAGATGTACTGTTTGACATACTTTGTTCTATTTTGGGCGTCTTCGCTACTCTCTGAAAAGGGTTTTATTTTGTGACCGCTGCAACGCCGTACCGTAGCTCTACCAAATGAGCTATCCTTCTGTACATGTTGGCGGTTCCTAGTTTGTCAAAGTCTTTGTTGAAGGAGCGCTATAGACAGACGCCATTATCCAAGTTACGATGCTAGCAACGTTAGCAATGCTGCGAACCTTGGAAAAAGCAAAAGGGATCACTCAAAGAGGATGGGTTTTTATTAATACAATTTGTGTTAATAACAAATTATGTGTAATGTGTGGTTTTTTTTCCCCTGATGATTTCAGGTTTTGTTAAAGCCAGTCCCAAAGGTCCTTCCTGCAGCGGGTCAGCGTGGAGCCCGCAACCTCTG